CTTGTAAGGGTCTGATTTCCAAATAAACTTATGAATCACACAGTCAAAATTTTAAAAATCAAGTGGTATTTTGATGATTTTTGTACTCAATTTACAGATAATTTTGGGAGCTGTTTTTCTTAACACCTCTCCAACAAAACTTACACTGCTTAAAACTCATTAATTAGGCTGCGAGATTATTTCATAACACTGCTGTCTCAGGGGGCTTTAGGAAGGAGGGAGTTTTTGGACTCAGGGGCAGAAAGAGCCACTTGTACCTCCTAAAGGGAACTTTCTACTTAAAATTATGAGCCTGGAATTTCCCAGGGCTGTTCTTGCTCCTAGAAGGTAGAAAGTCAAATTGCTCAGCAGAGCTACAGCTGCATTTCGCATCTGTGAGTCCTCAGGGCCCAGCCTTAGGCAATCCTGGCTGATGTTGGAAACCACCACCAAAATAGAAGCCCATTCTCATTGTGAAGTTCACTTAAAGGACTTAACTATCAGCTACATCCTTTTGTCAGTTGTGTTAGTCAGCAGTGGATGGGAAAATTTAACAATGCAGAAAATGTAAAGAAAAAAAGACCAATTGTGGAAAAGGTAGGGTCGGAAAACATTTCCGGATAGAACCACCTTTACTCATTGACAGATGGACCAGGCAAAAGGGCAAGTCTAGGATTTGAACTTTCACAATGAATTTTTAACTACAGTTTACTGGAGGTACTTTTCTATCCTTGAGGGGAAGGCAGGGCAGTGAAGAAGGGAGAGGCCAATAGTTTTGCTCACTTTGCCGTTTACTTCAGATCCAGCCCTGTGCATCATATTAAACTTGAAGGCAAAATGTCCTCTTGCAAATAAAAGATCCTTTTAGGTGCAAATTTAAGATTGCTTGTTTCCACTAGAAGGTACTGTGGGATGAGTGGGACCTGTAGATTTTCTACTAAATAATAAAGTGAGTCAGCTGATTAGTAATTAGAAGCTGCTATAGGACTGCAGAGTGGTACACAGGAGCTAGGATACAAGCAGACAGCGGCAGAAAAATTTAATTATAATTCTGCCAGGTAGCCAGGAGAAGAAGACTGGCAGAGGGCCCCAGCATTTTTTTTTATATTTTGAAATGGCAGGCAAGAGCAGTGTTCATAAACAATAAAATACATAGAAGAAAACATAGGCACTAAACTTATGGACCTTGGTCTCAGAGAGGTTTTTGTGAACTTGTCCCTAAAGGCAAGGAAAGTAAAAGCAAAAATAAATGAGTGGGACTACATCAAACTAAAAATCTTCTGCACAGCAAAAAAAATCAACAAAACAAAAAAGGCAACCAACCGAATGGGAGCTGATATTTGCAAATGATACCTCCAAGAAAGGGCTAATATCTAAAATATATGAAGAACTCATACAACTCAACAACAAAAACAATCCAATTAAAAAATGGGCAGAGAGCCTGAACAGACACTTTTCCCATGAAGACATACAGATGGCAAACAGATATATTTAAAATGCTTAACTTCACTAGCTATAAGGGGAATGCAAATCAAACCCGCAATGAGATATTACCTCACACTTGTTAGAATGGCTACTATCAATAAGACAAGAAATAAGTGTTGGTGAGGTTGTGGAGAAAAAGGGGCGCTTATACACTATTGCTGGGAATGTAAATTGGTACAACCACTATGGAAAACAGTATGGTTTCCTTGGAAACATTAAGAATAAAGTAAACATATGACCCAGCAATCTCTCTTCTGAGTATCTACCCGAAAAATTTGAAAACATTTATTTGTAAAGATAAATGATATGTACCCCTGTGCTCACTGCAGCATTATTCATGGTAGCCAAGACATGGAAGCAACCTCAGTGCCCTTCGATGGCTGGTGGATATGAAGAGGTGGTACATATATGAAATGCACTACTACTCAGTTGTAAGGAAGGACGAAACCCTGCCACTTGGGAAAACAGATGGATCTTGAACTCTCAAGTATCCCAAGTGAAATAAGTCAGATTGAAAGGATAAGAACAATAGGACTTCACTCATGTGGGATATCAAACAGAAAGCAACAAACAGACTCACAGACACAGCCAACAGTACGGCGGTTACCAGAGGAGGAGGTGGGTGGGGGAAAGATGAAGACGGTAAAGGGGTCAAATATAAGGTAACAGGAGATAGACTGGGTGGTGAGCACACACTGCAATGTATAGAAGATGTGTTACAGAATTGCACACCTGAGACTGCATGATGTTATTGACCAGTTATCCCAATAAATTTAATTTAAAAAGGTAGTGTTCATAGAAGAGTTAGGATAAAAGGATCCCTGAGGAATGGTTCTGAAAATGAATGCAAAATTTAACTTCTATCAGAAAATATATATTGGCCTAGTTGGTGATGGGGATAGGTAGGTTGGTTGATGAATTTGATTTAAATGATGAATTTTATTCATTTGATGAACTGAACTTAAATGTTGGCATATGTTAAAGCTTTAATTTAAATGCCAGTCTGAGAAACATAGGATTAGAGAAAGGTTGAGATTTACATATGATGACCAGATCCAAAAAAAAGAAAAAAGAAAATGGAAAGCCAGCAACTAATGTCAACCCGGGAAAGCACAGTGACATTGGGTCTTTTTTTGCAATCTGTACTCGGGTAAAGAAATGGAGGAATTAGATAAGAAAAACACTTTGGGAGCTCAATGGAATTACAGATTTCTTATTTTAAATTGAATCCATATTGTAATTTTGTGACCGAAAAGAGGCAGCTGGTTTTATCCCTATTTTGTTGGTTAAGAAATTAGTTTCTATTTTTTAAAGCAACACTAGGAAAATTTGAGGTGGCTGAGACTTTCCCTTTCTTTCTCTTAGAAGTCTTAAAAAGGGATGCAATCAGCTGGACTCTGTTATCACTACAGCCCCACTCATTACAATTGTTTTTCCACATGTCCGATGACTCTAATTTACCAGAGGGAAACACACTGAAAGCACCCTTGGATTTTTCTAAGCTGCAGGAAGAGAACATTGGGGATACTAACTTGCTAATCAAAGCTTCTGCTTCAAATAGTGTTAATATGATGTTTATAACAAATCTTTTCTTGTTTGTGTAGCATATTGGTTGTGTTAGGGGAACTGCCTTACCTTAAGAGGCCAATCTAAGAAAAGATCTCGGTACCTACACTGGTCAGAAGACTCCAGTCAGTAGTCAAGGAAACAGTGAGTCAGGGCTGGAGGAAGGAGGACTTCACAAGTCCCCGATGAAGAAAAATCTATAGTACTGGCGTGTACTTTGTGAGCCTTTAGATCTCAGACGGCTGCAGACAGGTTAGATAAACTCTTGAGTTGTTGCCAGAAAAATGTATAATAGAAACTAGAGCTGTCAGAATGTCGATGACTTAGAACCCCAAACTAAGTTAGGAAATAACTCCCTGAGTTTATCATAAAAAAGAACAAAATTGTGTGTGACAAGGTAGACAAAAACACCTTGCGACTCTGATTAAAATATTATGAATTTAAGTATGTGAAAAGCTTAGGAAATACGACGGACTTGAATTACACATCAGTTTTCAGATTTCCAGAAATTTCAATAAAATATTCAAATTATAGATGTTTAAAGACATGCTAACATAAGATACAAATGCTACCCAAATAATTTGAGACTGGTCTTTTACCTTGACCTGCTACAATACAGAAGAGTACAAATAATACTAAAAATATGAAAAATAAGCCACAAATATTGTTTTTCTTTTTTTTTTTTTTTTTATCTTTATTGATTTCAGAGAGAGGAAAGGAGAAGGACAGAGAGAGATAGAAACATCAATGATGAGAGAGTCATTGATCGGCTGCCTCCTGCACGCCCCTGACTGGGGATCGAGCCCGCAACCCGGGCATGTGCCCTGACCTGGAATCGAACCCCGATCGCCTGGATCCTAGGTCGACGCTCAACCGCTGAGCCATGCCCGGCCAGGCACAAATATTGTTTTTCAAATGTTATACAAGGAAAATAGTTTCAAGGGCCCTCTAGAATATATTACATTACTTAAGTATTTAAATAGTAGTTAAATTTGAACCAAATACTTTTTTAAAGACTACTTTACAAATAACAAGAACTTATCAGTTCATCCAATTTTCAGGCCAGCTTTCCCTCTCACATTTACCTTGAACAGCTTTACTTGCTGTTTGGGGAGAGGGCTACCTGCCAAGTCAGAAATTGTTGTGTCTTCAACAAATTAGCTTTGACAAATCAAATGGTTGAAACATTACAATTGGATGTTTAGAAGTAGAACATTATTTTGCCAACAAATAGTTCTCTACCCCTGTGCACTCTGGACTCTTATTTACATGAGTGCATGAGATCGTGGCACAAATGTGTTCTTTTTAAAAATTACATATAAGTCGACTATGATGGCAAAGCCTTAAAGTGTTGCAAATTATTATGACGGGCTTCAGTATAGTTTTGTCCACTTCATGAACAGGGACAGTCAGTTTTGTTAAGCAACTCAGAAATCATTACCTTCTCATCGAATGTGTACTTATCTCCAAGGAAGCATGGAAAAAGGTAAGCATGGACATAAAAACTGTACTTCTGGTACTGAACATTTCCCTTATTTGACTTTCAGGAGAAAATACTCAAAAACAACTTGTGTGTGTTTTTTTAATTCTCACCAGAGGATACTTTTTCCATTGCCTTTCGGGGGGGGCGGGGGAGAAACATCGATGTGAGAGAGACACACTGATTGGTTGCCTCCCGCTTGTGCCCCGACCAGGGCTGGGGATGGAGCCTGCAACCAAGGTACGTGCCCTCGACAGGAACTGAACTCAGGACCCTTTAGTCCGAGGGCCGGAGCTCTAACCCCTGAGTAAACCAGGCAGGGCTCAAAAACAACTTTGAAGTGATTCAGTTCTCGCTTATCCACATAGTGTTTTGAGGACATCGTATTTTCAATATTGCTACAAAATTTATGTTTTTAAGCAAAAATGTTAAGTCTAATTTTATGTCATAATTTCACATAATTATTTCATTTTGTTTTGTGTATTTGCAGGCAACTCAAATAGGAAAATCAAAGCCCCCAATTCAAATGCAGCATCAAATTCAACGAATGAAACAACCTATGAAGCTAATGATATAAATCAAGAAAAAACAATGGATACAACACAAATCAACATTGCGTATTAAAAATCCTGTGTTGTAAAAGCTCACTGGATGGAGCCATAAAAATAAAGAGTGCATTTAAAATACAGTTTGTAATAATACTTTTCAAAAATTCGCCACTCACAAAGCAAAACACAGCTGCATTTCTGATCATTCAATATTTTTATTAAACACCCACTAAGGTTTTGACAGATTTTCATGTACATAAGTTTACTTTTACTTGCTAATTAAAATGTTTGTACATTATACAAAAATTATAGTAATACTCCAGGCAAAATCAAAGAATTTATCAAAAACACAGACAAGCAAACCTATCTCAGTGAGGAACAATGAGAAATGTATGTCATATTACCAGCATTTCACAATTTTTGGTACTTAGAGGCAGTTACTTTTATAAGAGATGGTACCGATAAGTAGATGTTCTTAAGTCTTTTAGAAATCAACCCATGCCTTTTTAAGAGGATTTGCTGGGCGCACTAACAATGTGTTTATTGCCTTTACACAAGCTGACATTCAATAACAAAAGGAATTACAATTATAATCTGCATAATACATATTTCCTGCATACCAAAGGGAGACCACAACAAAAACCCTTCACTGATAAAGTTCCTAAGGAATTTCTACAATGAAAGTTATAAAACAAACAAATTCTCTGGTCCCACCTAAGGCTACTACAGTAATACCACTTAGACATCTAGAAATAAAACTAGTTTCTGCACATTATAACTGTCTTAATAAATTTTAAGTGTGATTTCTGTTCTAAGGACAGAGACCTGGTTTTATAATAGAATTCAATAGGAAAAGGGGATTCGTTTTAAGCTGGCTCTGCTGAACACATACACCTCTGTGTTGCATAAATTTCTAGAGCTGGAAGACTAGCCTTTTCAAGTGTGGTGAATACAGCTTCTCTGTTCTGATAGGGAGAAAAGGAGCGTCTTATTGCTCTCGGGCACACAAAGCTGAGGGATAGAAACTTTGATCATCAGGTGGTCAAAATTTCTACCAAGAACTGGGGATGTCTTCTAACGAGCACTGTCCAGTAGAAGCTTCTGAGAAGGTAGAATTGTTCTTTCTGTATGTGCACGGTCTGGTGGGGGGCCACTACACACAGTGTAGCTACGGGGCACTTAAAATGTGGCCAGAGCAACTGAATACATTATTTAAAAACTTTTTTAGTTAATTTAAATTTAAATAGCCACATGTGGCTATTCTGACATCCCAGTTCTAGATCATTACCACTGTTGTAACATCTACTGCCTGTTGCATTTTATGTTCCAAAAGAGCACAATTTTGTCAATGTCTAAATATTAAAATTGCTTAGAGTGCAATGGGAAGTTTGGAAGTTAAAACATTGCCATTATAAAAATGACATTTTTATGTGGTCACAAAAGGAAAGAATTTTCATTTCTTTTTGTGAAAACACATATATAATTTGTGGAACTTTTTTTTAAAAACATATCTTTATTGATGTCAAAGAGAGGAAAGGAGGGGGAGAGAGAGNTATAATTTGTGGAACTTTTTTTTTAAAACATATCTTTATTGATGTCAAAGAGAGGAAAGGAGGGGGAGAGAGAGAGAAACATCAATGATGATAGAGTCACTGATCGGCTGCCTAGCCCGCAACCCGGGCATGTGCCGACTGGGAATCGAACCCTGATCGCCTGGATCCTAGGTCAATGCTCAACTGCTGAACCACGCCCAGCTGGGCTGTGGAACTTCTTGATCTTTCACCTGCCTTGATTAAAAAATATCCCAGAAAATCAGCTATCTTAATACACATATATTCATAATTGTATTACTAATTAGATGTTGCCTCAGGTGAAAATGTAGGTTTAGTTAAGGCACTGGTACAGTTCTACTTTTTCTGCTCAAAGGGGAAGATCACAGGCCATAAATGGCACAAGAAGTAGGAAACTTAGACTTGGGGCCAGCAAAATGCTCATAGTCCTCAGACTCCTATCCTGTGGGACGGGCATGGGTTGGGCATGGCTGGATGCCTCATGGGTGTGCTCTGGGAGGTGCACCCCAATTCTCTGGCACTGCATATTTTTAGAGGAGTTGGGAGAAGACAAATGAGGTCAGAAGACCCTGGGCTTTGCAAGTGGGATGAGCGTCATGCTGGCATAAGAAACCTATTCTTGAATGCCAACTGCTCAAGACTGAATCCCAGCACTAGTATCGGGTGGAGTTCTTGAGGCACTTCCTGCTGAGCCAGGTCACCTGAGGGAGAGCCACGGGGCTCATCCAGTGAACCAACAGGCTGTCTGTCACTTTGGAGCAGTCGTGCTTCATAGACTGAGACAAAATAGTAAAAGCAAGAAGCCTTACAGACAACAGTGTGGTGAGAGCCAGAGGGAAAAGGGGCTGGGGATAGGTGGAGGTGGGCAAAGGGGGGATAACAGGGATGGAAAGAGGCTTCGCTTGGGGTGATGGGCACATGACGCAGCAGGCAGATGATGTGGAGTTGTTCTCTAGAAACCTGGAGTTCACAAAACATTGGTTTTGTGAACCAATGTCACCTCAATGAATTTTTTTTTTAAAAAAAGCAAGAAGACTTATCAAATTACAGCACATTCTGTACATTGAAAAATATATTTTAAATGATGCATTTGGATACTAGTATTTATGTAATAAATACNTTTAAATGATGTATTTGGATACTAGTATTTATGTAATAAATACTAACATAGTAACAGAATTTGTCCATAAAAAATAATCAAATAAAATTAAAAACAGCNCATTTGGATACTAGTATTTATGTAATAAATACATAGTAACAGAATTTGTCCATAAAAAATAATCAAATAAAATTAAAAACAGCACATTTCAAAGTTTGTAAGTATGTGTGCAATCTGGGGATAGGTCTGATAGAAGAATACAGTCGCTTTATGTGTTTTTAGGACAAGTCACTGAATCATTTTTGGTAATAATCAGATCTTAGAAAAGCAGGACTAGAAGAGTACAAATAATAGGACATAAAGATTCTAATTATTTCCTTTGTGGCCTTCTAATGAGAGCAATTTCATCTTTTAAAACTCGAGGAATTATGAAATAAATGAAACCAAACCCCAGTAAGTCATTTCTCTCCTTAAAATTCTGTCATGGTGTCTCACTGCCTGTGCATTAGGGTCCAAGCTCCCTAACATGGAACCTAAGACCCCCTCCTCCTGTTCCCGAGAACCCAGAATGGAGTCTCACACATTGCATGTTAGTTCCTGACACACATGCCCCCAGCCTCTACTGTGGTCCTTGTTCATAGTACTCACTCTGTCAGGAGCTACCATCACTGCCACCCGCAGCCTTAGTCAAAACGCACTTCAGGCAGTACTTTCTCTAGGGAGCCTCTCCAGCTTCCCAGACCAGGCTATGTGTTCCTATAAACCCATGTTCCGGTCGATTACTGCACTTGTAGGATGAGTTCTGTTGTTTCTCCTACCAACTGAACAACAAATGTCTTCAGGGAAGCAAATGAGTCCTTTTAATCTCTGCATCCCTAGTACTTGGCAGAGTATTTGCCATGCTAGGCCCTCAGTAAGTGTTTGTTGTAGAAAAGCCACGATGGCATTTTTATGAACACTATTAATAACTCCTCAATCTATGTTAACTGAAGGTGACATAGGGTTCTATCATTTGACAGTGGCAAATACAGACACATACAGTCATTTTACTCCTTATTTACTGATGTTTTGGCCTCAGAGATCCAAAAGCAGGTACGTAGTAAGGGTGAAGCACTGGGGATCCCTCTAAGTGATTTTAGTCAACAGATGATCTGGAGAAAACAGGGAATTGTGTGGAGGGTGGGTCTATCATCCCAAAAGCAATAGCCTCAAAGTGTTCAGATAATGAGGTTACAGACACAGATCTAAACAAAAGTTCTGTCTGAATCTAGCAAAATGACAAACACTGGATGGTAAGGATGTGGACCGAATACCAATTATCTGCTTACAGAGAAGCTGGATGTGTTCAAAGTAGTATTAATATACTCAACCTTTATCATTGCAGACTACCTGCTTACCTGTAATAATTTCTAAAATGAATATCACTTGAATTTACTAAAATATCAATACTCATATATATTAAGGACTGGAAGGGATCTTACAGGTAATTTGGTACAATATTTTATAGATGAAAAACAACAAAGCCCAGAGAAACTAAACGACTTTGGGGAAGGTTATGTAGGTTAGTTAGGAAGGCCAGGACTTTTTGAATTTTTACTATTAAATTGACTTTTCTGTCTGCTATATACTGCCTAAGAGGAAATTTCACTAATTTTTTCCTAAAATATATTGAGGTTTGCATCCAAGGCCAATAATAATAACATCACTTTAGAAGAACATTACTTTCATAAAAATAAATGTATTTTATTCAGAGATGTTTCATGAACCATTCTCATATGATAGAAAATTTACTTAAGAATAATTCCAAGATTGCTTCTGGGGGAAAATAATTACCAAGCATTAAAATCTTTTGATTTGCATACTGTATAGTTAATGAGGGCTGCATTCTATGTAACTCTTCTGAACCACTATTAATCATGTCACCATTCAGAAACAAATTTAATGAGCCAAGTTATAGTCTCTACAATTAACAGAATTATCCTTACAAATATCTAAATTAACTGTGTTCACTAAAATTATCATATTTAACTATGCCACACACTCAATGGGATGAGGCTATCCTTTTGCATACAGCTTTTTCCAATCATAATTTTTTTACATATTTTTTCATTTTGATAGCCAAAGAACTATATTTTCAGAAAATACAGATTTCAAGAACATATAAAATACAGCAAAGGCAAAACAAGTCCTTAAAAAACCTAATAGCTCTGTGTTTCTTTCCAAACAATAGACTGAACTTAATTTAAACAAGATAATTTCTTTTTGTGGCTATGTGACTAAATTAGGCTATGGAAAAGCTATTGGTGTGAGAGCTTCCATGGCTATAATGCTATAGGACAGGGATGTGGGTGTCACATCCCTAGAAGGTGAGCATGGTAAGCATGTGTTAAGAGGAGTTACGGGGCTCCCCCAGGCTTACTGAGGTCATGCCAGGTAGGGGTGCTGGGTAAAGAAAGAATCAGTACACCTCTCCAGCCTTTGAGATTACGTGTACTTACCTGATTTCACCATAATGAATTCATTTGTAGCCATGTCTCTGGGTTACCAATTTGAAAATGTATAACTGCACCAGAGTGAGGTACCTGCAATCTTTGGTGCTGTGCATTGGTAATGGATTGACTTCTGATGCTGCTACAATAAAAGGTATTTAATTTATTGGGCATAAGGGATACTTGAATGTTAAGCAAAGTAACATTGATCATTAAGAAACACTTATATCTACTAATATTGTTTGAAAATGCTTACCCATATAAAATTTCCATTGTTATATAAAGACTTTCATGATGCAACTCCCTGGCTCTTAAATTTTAAAAAGTACAGAATAAAATTATTAATTCTAAATTTTTGTCACTGCTCCTGAGGTTTGTGACTGAAGTAAAAGAAAGAAACACCCCAAACTGGTCATTTATGAAACCATAAATTCAGTGTGAAACCTGCTTCAAAACTACAAATTATTTCAGACAAATAAATATATACGTTCACATTTATAAAAATTTTCCACATTACTCATAGAAACAAGCTTCATAAAATTTACATACTTAATACAATAAAAATCAGTTCTAGTGAAGAGTTAGCTGTTACCTCCTAAATAAAAAGCTCTGTGCTTGAGGTATCACTTTGAGACATGCCAATATGGCACATTTGTAAAACAGCCCGGGAGTCTATCCTAAAAATCCTGCCCAGCACATTATCTCTATGAGACTTACTAATAGGCTGAACTAGACCTGTGGTTTTAAACAGGAAGAGATATTTTCATAGTTACAAAAACAAGGAGGCAGGCACTAGAAATGCTATGCTGCATGTCATAACACAATGAAACGTTGTTATAAATATTTTCATTAGCCTCTTCCTGCTGATACCATTCATTTAAAAAAGTCCTAGTCAAGAGCAATAAATCAGCTTTATATTCTATGACACCCAAAAAAGCCAGAGATTAAAAAACAACAGTGAAGAATATTACTGTCTTCATACATTATCACAGGATATAAAAAGCTATGAGATTTATCAGTGTCAAGAGCAAAACAAAGCATATCCCCTACCTCACTGCATCACTGGAAGGTAGACACTTGATTCAGCAATATCATTAACTGCCAGGTGGAGTACCTGTGTGACTGTAGTAAAGCCATTTATAATCAACTTAGTCAAACATACAGAGTCATGAATACCAAAAATGATGTGTTCTGTCTGTACAGATATCCATACTTAGATTAAGTAATAAGCTATTAAGTAATAAGACTGATTCAATACTTTATAATCACAGTACATTAAAAACATATTGCCAGAGGATAAGGGTCCCATATGTGAAAAAAATGTCCATATGAACAAGCCTGCGATTTATTGCAAAGCATAATTATATAGCAAATTCCAAGGAAGGTGAAATGATTTTCAAAACCTAAATTTTAAATGGAATGGCTTAAGCCACAGTCTCAGCTACTTCTTGGAGGTCTCGCAGACAGTAGGGCTGGGAGAATGCTTTTCCTTTTTTCTCTTCTTTTTTTCCTTTTTGTGATGTTTTCCCTTTTTTGACTTACTCTTCTTTTCTTTTTTCTTTTCTTTCTTCTGAGACTTTTGTTTCTTTGGTTTTGAAGTGTCCTCGTCAGCAGAACTGGATGAGTGAGACCTACGGGCGATAGTGAGCACTGACTGACACCTGTGTCCAGCTGACAGCTACACTGAAACGGGGTTTGACCGGCCCTAACCCCTTGGAGCAAGCTGGGGTATAAACACAGAAGCTCACAATGCGCTGCAGATGGTTGTATTCTCTTAAAATACTGAATTTAGAATTTTTGCTATTGGTCACAGAAACTGACAAAACAAATGTCTCTATTCTGCTCAATTCTGATTATGTAAGTTTCATATAGTTACATATAATTTTATATAGTTACATAGTTATAGTTTTATATAGTTATATAAATTATAAATTCAGTAAGGATGAAGATTATTTTTCTGATTTTCAGTTTTTCATCCTATCGTACCCTTCAAAATCTTATAAGGCAAACGAAATTGCATTTATCAAGCCTTTTTGTATACACAATTCACTGTGTATGCAATAACCTATTAGCATATTCCAGCAATTTTCAACCTTTTTCATCTCGTGGCACACAAACTAATTAGTAAAATTTTGCGGACCACCAAAAATATGTTATATTTTTGCCGATCTGACAAAAAAATGGGTATAATTCTAATTCATTTACACTGGGCGGGTATTGTTGTGTTGGTTGTTGTCATTTTTTATTTGACAATCTATGGGAAAAGAGGTCAGTGCCCCTGACTAAATAGTCAGGTGTGGCATGTTTTAAAAAACCTTGCAGCGCACCGGTTAAAAATCGCTGGCATATTCTCTTAAAAGAGCAACAAAGAAATGTGATTATATAAAAAGGGTTATAATTATATACCTTAGTATAAGTGGATGAAAGCTGAAAATTAGCAAAATAAAAGCACTTTTGTTCATCCTGTTTTCCTCCCTTTATCTTACGATTTTCCATCACCAATGATCCTCCATGTTACCCTCGTCCAGCTCCACCCACTCCACCCCCCCCTGAAGTCACCACACTGTTGTCTGTGTCCACGAGTTCTTTCTCTCTGCTTTTCTTTTTTGCTCAGTCCCTTCAGTGTTAATTCTTTTGATTTTTCAAAGAAAAGTACTTGATCCCTCTAGAAGCTGAGCAATACAGATGAACACTTTCATTTCAAAATAATTTTCAATAGTTGTAAAAGATGCTTTTAAATGAATACTCCATATAAATGAATTAGGGTGATTTATCATTATACTTTGTTTTTCTTATATTACTGTAATACCAAATTGGGGAAAAACCTATAGAAGTCCTTCCTCTAATATTAAAAAAAAAAAAAAGGAAAACAAAAACCAGAAAACCATCTCTTAAGGCCTTGTATGGAGTATGCAACAACCCACCCTTGCCCAAACCCCAAATCTGTATGACTAGACAGAAACGGAGTTAATTTAAAATCAAATAGGCATCTCAAGAGATAGTTGAGGGATCTTGACATTGGAAGTTAAAACTCAAACTAGAAAAACCTGACAGAGACTTAAAGAGGAGAAAAGGTAAACACGAGACTACAAGCTTGTGTCTCGAGACTGACGTGTGCACTCCGCCCGCCTTTCTTGCTCAGGGACCCGCTTCTGGCTCCGTGAGGCTGTACCCTTTCTACTCCTTGTGTGCTCTGTGAGGCTGTGTCCTTTCTACTCCTTGTGTGCTCGGTGAGGCTGTACCCTTTCTACTCCTTGTGGGCTCGGTGAGGCTGTACCCTTTCTACTCCTTGTGGGCTCTGTGAGGCTGTATCCTTTCTACTCCTTGTGGGCTCGGTGAGGCTGTATCCTTTCTACTCCTTGTGGGCTCGGTGAGGCTGTGTCCTTTCTACTCCTTGTGGGCTCTGTGAGGCTGTGTCCTTTCTACTCCTTGTGTGCTCTGTGAGGCTGTGTCCTTTCTACTCCTTGTGGGCTCGGTGAGGCTGTGTCCTTTCTACTCCTTGTGGGCTCGGTGAGGCTGTGTCCTTTCTACTCCTTGTGTGCTCTGTGAGGCTGTGTCCTTTCTACTCCTTGTGTGCTCGGTGAGGCTGTGTCCTTTCTACTCCTTGTGTGCTCGGTGAGGCTGTGTCCTTTCTACTCCTTGTGGGCTCGGTGAGGCTGTGTCCTTTCTACTCCTTGTGTGCTCTGTGAGGCTGTGTCCTTTCTACTCCTTGTGTGCTCGGTGAGGCTGTGTCCTTTCTACTCCTTGTGTGCTCGGTGAGGCTGTGTCCTTTCTACTCCTTGTGGGCTCGGTGAGGCTGTGTCCTTTCTACTCCTTGTGTGCTCTGTGAGGCTGTGTCCTTTCTACTCCTTGTGTGCTCGGTGAGGCTGTGTCCTTTCTACTCCTTGTGTGCTCGGTGAGGCTGTGTCCTTTCTACTCCTTGTGGGCTCGGTGAGGCTGTGTCCTTTCTACTCCTTGTGTGCTCTGTGAGGCTGTACCCTTTCTACTCCTTGTGGGCTTGCTTAAGACTTTGGGCCACTTCCTGAGCCTACCTTCTCACGTGCTCTCTTACTCCCTCTTCCACTCTATTCTTCTCAACTCTTCTCTCTTTTCCTGTCTTAAAGACCCTGCTTGACCTCTGGATTCTGACCAGAGCTGCTGCTTTGGGTTTCTGGTTTTCTCTCTCTCTTACAGATGTCCCCCCATCTTGGTACAGCAACTCTGTTAGGTGGTATCATCTCTGCTAAGTGTGCCTAGAAACGTTCACATAGTACCAGGCTCTGTCTGAGGTTTGTGAGGCCCAAGACAGACAGGCTTGAATAAATAATCTGTTACTATAAAACAAGTATATTAGAATTGGAAGAAAATAGTTAATCCAGTTTTTCCCAGGCAAATCACGTTGCTGTGGTAATGCCAATAACTCAACAATAGACTAGTCAGACTACACATTACTACCTTCCTATTAGTTTTTATAGTAAAGTTTATTATTTAACTCCTAGCACTTGAAAGTAAGCTATTCCAATTTATAAAATAGCTGAGATGTCAATTCTTTTGATCTACTTCTTTAACCAGTTAATTGTTAAAAGAGTTGATATAAAAATTCATAGGTGGCTGATGAAGGTTTTGAAAGACTTGAGGAATTTCCACCATGACAAGTGAGTACATAAATCCTATTAATAAATTAATTTTTTAGGCATGACAATATTTTGAAAATACAAATATTTAACCTCCAACTTCATACAAATGTGGACAAAATATATATGTGAAGAATTTAGACATATATTCCTTTAAAAGATTAGCTGATGTTCTAAAACGTAAAACTCTATCATATATAAAAGAAGGGGAGAGGTGTTACTTATTTATATCTTGATTTGTGCCAAGAAGAATATTTAGGTGGCTAAGTGCTGACTTTAGTTTTGATTCTTGAAATGAAAGACTTTTGTTATTTCACTGAAACAAATAAGCATTTAACTCCTATTAAGAAAAAAGTGTTTAATAAGCTGGAAAAAACTTATAATCCATCCTGGATTCACAGTCCTGCTTTTAAAAAAATGATGTTAAATAAATACCTTTTCCTTTTTTTTTTCAACTTGATTTTCTCTTTGCTTTTTGCCTTTTTCTTCTCCTCTTCTTCATTTATTCCTGTGTGTGGAGGGGAAAGAATCAGTCACCATGTGTCCAAATTCTAATATAGTATGTACACATTTTTTGATTTTGGTTGTTGGTTGATGATTTTCACTGGTTAGGATATTGCACTTTTCTTGTAACATTTTCCCCTTTCTTAATTTGTTTTTAAATGGAAGTATAATTGCCATAACACTACATTAGTTTCAGGTGTACAACATCCTGATTCAATATTTGAATGTATTGCCAAACAATCACAATAAATCTAGTTCACACCTGTCACCCATACCCAGTTACAAAAATAGTTTTCCTTTTGATGAAAATATCTACGATCTAATCCCTTATCAGCTTTCAAATGTACAATAACGTAATATTAAATAGTCAAGATGCTGTACATTACATCCCCATGACTAATTTATTTTACAAGTGCAAGTTTGTACTTTTTGACCCTTTTACCCAGTTTGCTCCCACCCCCAATCCTTCCTCTGGCAACCAATAATAATCTGTTCTCTGCATCTATGAGCTTAGCTTTTTGCTTTTCTTTCTTTATATCACACATACAAGTAAGATCATATGGTATTTGTATTTCTCTCTCTGACTTATTTTGCTTAGCATAATGCTTTCAAGGTCCACTGATTATTTTTATTATGCTTTTTATAAGAATTTCAAATACTTCTAAGTATATTGAGTATAAAAACTCTAGTACTTTAATGTTAATTCCTACAGCAAATCAATTTTTGGTGGGCACCAATCTAGGCCTTAAAAAACAAAAACAATACAATCAAGTACAGTTTTTAAATTTTCTTTTTCTAACAAAACTGGGGTCGTGGGATCCTAGGATCAGGATCCTAGGACCATGGGACAATAACAACTGATTTAATATTTATGCCATTGGTATCCTAGAAGGAGAGAATACATACTATTGAGAGAAGGTACTGGGACAGAAAGGGAGGTAAGGTTTCTACATTTTACTTACACTGGTAAAGTGACAATACCAGTAGACTGTGATAAATTATGTATATACAATACCTGGAGTAACCACTAAAAATGCTATGCAAAACACCACAGAAAATTTAAAAACATCATAGATATATTCAAAGACACTGTAGATAAATCAACATGGAATTCTTTCAGTGTTCCAGTAACACTCTAGTTATATCAAAGCACTATAGATGATTCTAAAAAAGAAGGCAGGAAAAATAAAACAAAAATGAAAAACAGAGAGAACAGGTAAAAAACAAATAAAATGATAATTAGCCCTAACATAAATAATTACATTAAATTTTAAAAAGGGTACCAATTAAAAGAAATTAGCAGAGTGAATTGAAAAATATGACCCATCTATATAATATCTCCAAGACGTTCACCTAAAATATAGGCACACTGATAGTAAAAGAATAGAAATTAATATGTCACACAAACATTATCAGGGAAAGCTAGAGTGGTTATATTAATAGCAGATAAAGTAGACTCAGAACAAAGAAAATCACTAGTGAGAGAGACGGGCATTATATAACAAAAATTTCAACCCACCTACAAGCAATACTAAATGTGCATGCACCAAACAACAGAGCTGAAAAATACATGAAGCAAATCTGATAGACTTGAAAGGAGAAATGGACAAATCCACAGTGGTAGTTGGAGACTTCAATATCCCGTCTCAGTAACTGATAGAAACTATACATAAAGTCAAAGATACAGAAGAATTCAGCAACACCATCAATCAACAGAATCTAAACAACCTTTAAAAATACTCTACCTGACAAGGGTAAAATACATATTCCCCCCCCCCAATTGCCTATAGAACATAAACCAAGATAGAATATATCCTGGGCCATAAAACAAACCTCACCAAACTCAAAAGAACTGAAATCACATAGAATATGTCTCTGTCCACAGTGGATTCAAATGAGAAATCAATAACAGAAAGATAACAGGAAAATCTCCAAATACTTAAAAACAAAACAACACAAATAATCCACTGGGCAAAGAGAAAGTATCAAGAAAAATAAGAAAATACACTGAACCAAATTAAATTTAAATATAACACATCAAAATCTGTGCACACCGGTAGTTCTGAGAGGGAAATTGCTACTGCTAAATGCTTACTTACAAAAGAAAAGGAAAAAAGTTTCAAATTAATATTCTGTACTTTCATCTCAAGAACCTAGGGGGGAAAAGCTAAATAAACCCAAAGCCAGTAGAAGAAAATAATAAAGAACAAGAATTAATGAAATTGAAAATATAAAAAGACACAAATTACCAACATCAGGAATAAAACGGGGGATATCACTACAAACTCTATCGACATCAAAAGGATAAGTGAACACTATAAACAACTCTACAAACATAAATTTGACAACTTAGACAAAATAAAGCCCTTTCTCAAAAACACAAATTGCCACAACTCATCTAATATGAAGTAGATAATTTCAATAACTTTTTAACTACTAAGGAAATTAAAACTGTAATTAAAAACTCCCAAAAAGAAAATCTCCAGGCCCAGACAACTTCACTGAACATTTATAAAAGAATTAACACCAACTTTACAGTCTTATCCAAAAAATAGAAAACCCTTAATATTTTAAGACACTAATGTTACTAATGCCAAAATCAGATTAAAATAGTACAAAATAAGAAAACTACAGACCAACATCTCCCATGAATATAAATACAAAAATTCTTAACAATATTAGCAAATAAAATTCATATAAATATAGATCTTCTTATTGCATGGCTAGAATCTCCACCACAGTGTTGACTAGAAGTGGGAGTGATATCTGTGCTTTGTTCCTTACATTATGGAAATATTCTGTCCCTTATCATTAAATATGATGTAATCTTTCAGGTGTTTTTTTTTATAGAGATCCTTTATTAGGTTGATGACATTCCCTAGTTTGCTAAGAATTTTCATCAGAAATGGACAATGGACTTACTCAAATAATTTCTGAAAACAGTATAATTATCATATAGGTGTCTTTTTTTAGTCTGTTAAAAATGGCAAATTACATTGACTGACTTTATGTGAAACTAAATCTCTTATTCCTGGGATACACTATACTTGGTTTTAACATATCATTTTTACATATTGTTGGATTCGATTTGCTAAAATCCTTTTAATTGCTTAAAATTCTCTGTGCATTTATGGGAATCTACTTTTCTTGCCGTGCCTTTATCTGGTTTTGTTATCAGGGTAATGATGACCTTAAAAATTGAGTTGGAAAGTATTCCCTTCTCTTTAATTTTTAAAAGATTTTATGTAGAAATGGTATTATTTCTTCTTTAAATGTTTGGCAAAATTCATGAAAGCCAATAGGCTATGGAGATTCCTTTGCTGAAAGTTTTAAAATTGAACATTTAACTTCTTTAATAAATGCAGGCGACTCAGTCTATTTCTTTTTGAAACTTTTGGTACTTTGTATCTTTCACATATCCATTTTACCTAAGTTGTTTAATTTACTTATTAAAATTCTCTTATTTTAGTATCTGTATAATTTGTAGTATTGTCTTTTCTTTAATTTCTGATATTGGTAATTTATGACTTTTTTAAAACCTGATTTCTTTGGATAACAATTTTTCAATTTTATAGATCTTTTTAAAGAACCAGCTTTGGTTTCACTGATTTTCTCTATTGTTTTTCTATTTTCCATTTCCTTTTTTTCATCTGTATTATTTCCTTTCTTCTGTCTGTTTTATTCTTCTTTTTCTTGTGTGTTTCAGTAGGAGCTGAAAGTCATAACTTTGAGACTTTTCTTCTTTTCTAATCTAGGCATTTAGTGCTGTAAATTTGCCTCTAAGTACAGCTTTAGGGGTATCCCATAAATGTTATGTTGTGTTCATATTTTCATTCATTTCAAAATATATATATATTTTTAAAATATATCTTTATTGATTTCAGAGGGAGGAAAGGAGAGGGAGAGAGAGAGACAGAAACGTCAATGATGAGAGTCACTGATCGAGCCTGCAACCCGGGCATGTGCCCTGACCGGGAATTGAACCCCGATGGCCTGGATCCTAGGTCAACGCTCAACTGCTGAGCCATGCCCAGCCGGGCTCAAATTATTTTTTTTTAATTCCCTTTTGCTTTTTTGTTCTTTGACCCATGGGTTATTTAGAAGTATGTTAAATTACAAATATTTGGAAAATTTCCAGGAAGCTATTTGTTATTGATTTCTAATTTAATTTTCTTGTGGATAGAGAGCATGCTTTGAATAACTGGAATCCTTTAAAATTTATGGAGACTTGATTTATAGCACAGAATAAGGTCCATCTTGGTAGATGTTCTGCATGCACTTGAAAAAAAAGTATATCCTACTGTTGTTTGGTAAGGTGTTCTATAAATGTTAAATAGGTGAAACTGAAACTGGTTGACAATGTTATTCAAATCTTCTATATATTTTCCGATTTAATGTCTACTTGGTTCCATCAATTATTGTGAAAGGTGTGTTGAAATCTCCAACTATAATTGTGGATTTGTGTATCCACAAACATTTTCCCTGGTAGTTCTATTAGAGTCTTGCTTCATATATTTAAAATTTTGTTATTAGGTACATCAACAGTATTTTTATGTCCTCTTATTAACTGACCCTTTTATTATTATGAAAAATACTCTCTTTACCCATAGTAATACTTTGTTTTGAAATCTACTTGATCTGACATTAAAATAGTCACTTTAGCTGTATCTTGAGTAGCTGTCTTTTTTTTTTATAGCTGCAATAAGTTCAGAATGACTAATTGTAAACATGTTCTTCCCCCCTTCCCCCGAAAAAGGTTGAAAAACTAAGAAAACAGAACGGTAGCTATGGGAATAATTACCACGGTCATTTAGGATGATGAATAAGGAGTCTGCTGACTAGATTATATAGAGAAATTAGTTCTAATAGAAACAAAACAATCCTAGAATTCAAGAAATACTTCTGCCGAGCCATCTACCCTTAGGAACAAGCAGTACAGCCAATAGGATATGAGAATCCAAGCACTGAAGACAAAAGTTTATTTTAGAGAGTTCAGTGTTTCTACGCTACCACCCTTAAAGTGATTGCACTGCTATTGACTGAAGTTCTTTCTGAGACAGGATGTCGAAATGTACACAGGCACAGCAGGGAAAAGAATTTGAGTTTTTGCACAATAATAATTTCTTGTAAAATGATAGAACCAACCTTTGGAAGACAAACCAGAAGGCAAGAAGGTCCTGTGTACTTCAGCGCTTAAATTTTGTAACAATCAGCAACAGTGGTGTCTTTATGTTAGGACGCAGTGTGCTTACACAGAGATTCGGGATAGAATGGAGGATACGTCTCAGCCACTAGCTCTTTGTTTGCATATCTGTCACCAGGTTTGTAGCTGCTCCAGCTACTTTTAAACAGCTGAGTAGGCAGCTCCAAACCCAGACCCATTAATCTAAATTTCCCATTCCCTCTTGTAACCTCCGACTACTTAGCAACTATCTTTTATAGCTGTCTTATAAAAAGTACTTTATGAGCCAAATATTTACTCCAATTATTGTGTGAATTCATTTAAGCCCTATCTTTATAATGCTTGAAGCCACCATTGTAAGTTATTCATCTGAGTCTGACTCCAGCAGTTACTGAAGGAAAGGAGAGCCAATTACGGTAATATGCAAATCCCTGATTTTGGCATTTTGTCCTATGGAATTTTCAGTGTCAACCATTTTTAAATAAGATCAAGTATAAATTTAACATAAAACTCTTTTAAACACGCAAAACAAAGTGAACAAGCAAAAAAACAAACTAGGCCAAAAAAATTGTCAAAATACATTTCTTTTCTGGGCTAAATGAAAAAATACTGTAAAGTATTAAGGGATGAAAAACAAGGGGAGGACTACAGGTATTTCCTAATACCAGGCGAATGGCTGATTAACATTAAGTAACACTCGGTTAAACAGAGTATGGAAAAACCCATACTCTTGAATTTCTTGGGTCCTTTGTAAATACTGAAATTCTTTTACCTTGACTTTATACACACTGTAACATAAATAGGTCTTTAGATACTTGCTACTACCATGTACAATTCCAAGGTTTCCTCAGGAAGTTCGAAACACAGTATAAAATATTAACAAGCTTCCTGAAGAACTGCAGTGCCACTAGACAGCAAGCATGTTCACACGCGCATGCGCTCGCACACACACAATGAGTCAGTAAGAACTTATGATCCTTGCTGTGCATTGATTGATTGATCTTTTCCTATTTGTAGCCCCAGTGACATAATTTCCTAAGGAGGCACAGGTCCCAGGTTGCTAGAGCATAATAAGGCAACAAAGCTTGTTCCCATCCATGTCAAGTCCTGCTCTCACATTCTCTAAGCATCAAAAATTGATATATGTCACTTAGACTTTTGTTTGTTTTAAATGAAAGAGATTAAATCTTTGAAATATTTAAATGAAAGATATTAAGATATTAAATGCATTCAAAAATATGCACTATAATAGAAGCAAATACACACACACACACACACACACACACACGAGGCAAAATAGAAAACACAACGTACACAAAATAAGTTTTGAGTCTTGTTTTTTTTTGGTGACATTTCTCTCTCTTCCCTTTCATGACTATTTCATAATAGCAGAACAACTATTTACATAAATACACTAAGAATTCTTTGCTTTCTCCTGCCTCACTATTTTTATTCTGTCATTAAAACAAACAAGATAGTTGGTACAAGAGCTCTCTACCTCCAAGGACCAAAGGAAGGATTCAAGGAACCCTCAGGACTGCCTGAAGGATGCGGGAGGAGAACTCACTTCACGAGTGGGTGTTTTACCGACACGCTTTAGAGATCTGAGCCACATCAGAGAGCCATCAATGGACTAAGAACCACAACCTGCACACTCTCTTCTTCCGCGTACTTAGGAACCAACCTACTGTTGATTGGGTAGGGGTGGGTCACCGGGCTTGCATTAGGTGACCATGAAATAAATATGGGTCCCTTTTATAACACTTTATTGTTGGATCTGCATGACATACAGAATGAGCACTGTTCTGGGCAGGAGTCATGAGGCTTGGAAACGAGTTCTGAGCCTTCAGGTGACCATGTGTAAGCACCTCTTTTTAAAAAGCAGCAAAGCTAGATGGAGTTCGTCATCCTCAGTGTGAGGTTAGAGGAAAGCCGATTCTACTAAAGAAGGTCTACCAACTACTCCTTATCCTGGAGACTGTAAATGAATCTCCTCCCCCTCTCCCAGGGTGGATCAGTCCCATGTCTTCGGATTGAACAATGGCCTCTAGAGTGAACCACCCCACTACTCATGGTGGGAGTGTTCTTTATCCTTCCAGACTATGGGATGAGGGGGAAAAGGTCAAGAACCAAGGGACTGGGTGATCTTTAAGGCTGGAGGGCAGCATGTTATAACGAAAACAGCACAGGACCAGTAGCCAAGAAACCTGGATTGAGGTGCTGGCTTTACTGAGACCAGTTAGTGGTTTGAGGAAGTTACTTGTCCCCATTTTCTTTTTCTACACAACTAGGTGTTTAAGCTACCCATTCTCTAAGATCCTTCCTAATTCTAAAATTTTGTGCATTTTTTAAAAAACAGGGCAGTGCAGATGGATGGGGTAGAAACTGTCCTTGTGGAATGGATGAGCCTAGGCTTTCTCTCCGAGCAACTTGTTCTGCTCCTACGTGGTTTGGCTGCTCGCTATGCGTGGGATCTCTCTGAACCAGCACCCAGGCATTCTCTCCTTCTCTCGCCTATTTCCTGCAGTCCATGTCTTCCCTTCTGGGTAGACTCCCTTACTCTGGCAGAAAACCCCTGGAATAAGGAGATGTGAGAGGTAAATTTTTTGGAGACTCTGAATGCCTGACAATGCCTTTATTCTACTTTTACACTTGGTTGATAATTTGGTTGAGTGTATCATTCTAATTTGGATAGAATTTTCCTTCAAAAATATGAAAGCATTATCCACATCTTCTGGCTTACAAGTATTGCTTTAGAGAAGTGCAGAGCCATTCTGACTCCTGATGCTTTGCCTATGACCTGTTTTAGCCTTGGATCCGGAAAGTCTGAATGACACTCTCCTTGTTTCCTGTGATATGAAGTTTCATAAATGGTGTGCCTCTGTGTGAGTCTATTTTTAACACCATGCTTGGTACTTATTGAATCTTTCTGTCTGGAAGCTAATGTCCTTCATTCTTGGAAATAGTTTCTGTTTTCTCTTTCTGGGACTCGTCTGAATGAAGTATATACTCGTATGCAATGTCACTCTTGTCTGCCCCCTCTGGGATGCTCTCCCCTTTCTGCCTTCTCACTTGTCTCAGTACCCTGCATCTGATCTCTTCACTTACTTTCACTGGATATAATATGGAAAGCTTACAAAAATTTAAAGTGTTTATTGTTATCTGTTTATCTAAAATGAGTTTAACTTTTTGTATTTCTCTCATTCCATGCCCAAACCCATATTCAAATAAATTGCATTTGCTTTTGTGTGACACCTACCATAGGGCATCTTGTAGTTTACAAAGTATTCTCATATACAGCATCACATTTTATTCCTAAAAACTCCATTGCAAGGCCAGGCCATTTTATACACAAGTTGGGAAAGAAATGGTTAAACAGTAAGTCTGTAATATCTCTTCTCTTTGATGGGAGAGGGGGCAGGAAAGAAATTTCTTTGTACACATGCTAATTACAGACTTCCAGGAAAAAAATGGATGGTACTGGCTAGCTAGAAAACACTTTTTGGGAGGGGGAAGATGGGAGTGACTTAATAACAGAAATATATTTTCTCACAGTTCTGAAAGCTAGAAGTCCATGATCAAGCTGTTGGCAAGAGAATAATTTACAGACTGTTTATGGCAGGATGTACTTGGTTTGTCTAAGATTGCTTATGGTTAATAATGCTGGAATCTATGGATGTATGGGGCAAGGCTCCCTGGAAAATGCCCCTATCTGGGCATAAAATAGAGACGCTTCATGATTAAAATGACTTTCTTCTCTGTAAGTACTATAGAAACGTCTTATGTTAATCCCGCTAGAGTGGGCTCTGAAGTAGAAAGAAAATGCCCGGGGGCTGTGGTGGCCTCCCCAGAGCTCGCGCTGCTTTGCCTACGCCTCACGGTCATTTCTATGCCTGTGCTCTTAGCAAAGGTCGATGCTAGCTAAGACCTCTGATTTGATTCAGTGCCATCTGCAACCCAATCTTGTGTTTTCCACATGGAAAGGGAGGTTCAGAGTGGTTAAGTGACTTACTGAAAAGTCACATGCTAAAAAATGGCCAAATGGGGCCAGAAACCAAGTCTTAAATCAGACTCTTCGTCCCATGTGACGCGAGCTAGGGTGACGGAGAAACAAAACCTGGGTTCTGGGATCAAAAGCAGACTTGCCTCCTGGTTCTGAAACTGATCAGCCGTTAGATTTTGGGCGGATTCCTTACTGCGTTCCAAGCCCGTCTCCTTACCTGTGCAGTACCTCTCACATAAGACATCTTCACGATAAATGCAACAGAACAAGAGGGAAGCGCCACACAGGAGCAGCACATCTACAAGCACTTGTGAAGGACGGAGAGGGGTGCCGCTTACTCTTTTCTTGCAGCGCCTGCCACTGGTTCAGCTCCTCATTCTCTTCGTCGCTCTCTTCACTGCTGGTGCTGCTGACGTCCAAGACTATGTCCCTCTTGGGGTCTACGCGCAGGAAATTGCGGCATTCGAACGTCAGGTGGCCAGCTAAGTGGAACGAAACACGTGAAGGACAAAATGGTAGACAAGGTACATATTTTTTGTTTTGTTGCCTCGTGGTAAGCAATGAGTTACAATTTTAATAATATAATGTTTAGTTTTAACGTTTACTCAGAGGTGGTATTTTGCTTTCCCTGAAAGCAAGGCTCAGAGAGAGAACTTTTCCTTTCTTCATCAGGGCTTCTAATTTAATAAGCACGTTTTCTGGGTGCTGAATCGCTGTATTTTCCCTTTCTATACACTAAAGGAAATATTCTCATACTTAGGAGTTTATATTTAATCCCCTTCTCACATCTTTTTCTTTTAGCTTTACTATTACACTCATGCAATTACATAGCTTTCATATAATTAACAGTACCATAATAACATAAAGAATGTGCTCTTCGAAAAACACCTAAAAATTTAATTCTGACATCATTCACCTCCTAAAGATTCTTTCTATAAGAAAACTACAGCAGTTGCCTACTTATAGCATGATGTGATTTTTAAAAAAAACAAATATTACAAACAGCAGCAAAGTACAGGAAATATAACCACTACCCAAGTGCCAACCGCCCCCGTTGGCATTTTGTCCCATTCACCCGCGGGTTTGGGACGGGAAAGGCCTGCGCGCACCCAGAGCCGGAGAGCTTGCCCCATCCTTGGGAACCCGGCTTAACTCTGTTCCATTCTTCGTGTTTGCAGTAGGTGGGAGACTGAGGTTGGTGTCCATCTTTACCAAATAGCATACTGTATTATTATTTTTTAAATCATAAACTCAAGCTCTGGCCAGTGTGGTTCAGTTGGCTGGAGTGTCCCCCATGCTCCAGAAGGTCCAGGTTGGGTTCTGGTCAGGACACATACCTGGGTTGTGGGTTCAGTCCCCAAGTGGGGGCATACAGGAGGCAGCCAATCAATGTGTCTCTCTCACATCGATATTTCTCTCTCCCTTCCTCCCTCTCTAAAATAAAATTTAAAAATGACATCTTTCAAAAATAATAAAACACAAACTCAGTTATATTTACCTATCATTCTGCAACTTGTTTCTGCCACTTACATTATATTTTGTGCTGTATCTATGTTAACATAAGTAGATGTAATTATCTCATTTTACCTGATGAATAATGTTCCATTGTATAAAAAAACAATACTTATTTATCCTTTCTGCTACTGATGGGATGTCAGGTTGCTTCCAGGCTTGTGCTATTATAAATATGCTGAAGTGAGGAGCTGTTCTTGTCTCTGTGCACACAGAGCAGTTTCTCCAAAGCAGCAGCTTTCAAATTTTGTTGACTATGACGGGATGATGGTAAAAAATAACAATGCAACCAAGTATACTCACATACACATGCATATGCAGATAGACACTAAGAGACAAAAATCCAGTTACATGAAGAGTGACTATATTTGATATTCAAAAACACCAGTGCTGACGGTGACCACATTGATTTCACAACCCACAAACGATTCATCACAGCTCTGTGCTAGGGTTTATTTCTAGTTTGCTCTTACTTATACAAGAGCATCTCCCATTAGCATCCCAATAGGGCAGAGCCCTGGGCCTTGTTTTTAACCCCCTGCACCCTGCCATCTGAGGAAAATAGATGTTCAAGAACCCTGGGTTAAGCAAATAACCTCAAGACTTACCTCTTAGTTTCCGCTTTCCTTTGGTTGCTGCCCCGAGTGTCCTTGAGTTTCTTCCTAGCATACTAATATATCTAAAACATGTACTGAAGGTTTTAGTTGTTTCCAGGAAGGTCCAATCTGCCATACTGCTGGAAACAAGGTTCTTCTGGTGTGATTTCCTACCAAGTGATCACTCGGAAGTGTTCTCTTTAGCTTCCAGCACAGGGAGTTTTCAGACTATGCTTTTGTTGATTTCCAAATTTATTGCACTATCAGAGAATGATATCACCGTCTACATATAGTACATTTAGGAGGAGATTTGATATGTTTTTTAAAAGAACATACATCACTATTTGTTGAATAGGGTTCTATGTCTGTTTTGTTGTTCAAATCTTCTCCATCTTATTTTTTTGTCTAATAACTTAGGACAGTGACATGTTTAAGCACCTCTATCATAGCTTTGTTCATTTCTTCTTGTGATAGTTTTTGCTACATGTATTTTGAGATTAGTAAGCACGTTTAAGATCATTATGAGTTTATCTTCATGGTGGATTGTTCTTGACTCTCTCTCTATCCCTAGAATTGTTCTTGCCTCAAAAGTCTGAAATTAAAATTGCTCCACTTGTGTTTTTTGGTTGTTATTAGTTGAATCATACGATGTTACAATTTTTATGAGTAAACAAGCTGAATATCAACAATATTCAACCTAATATCTGTTCTTTTTCCCTATCCCTTCATTTTGAAATTTTCTATGTAGCTTTTAGTTTTCTATGTAGTTTTATTAATAATGACCTGTAAATGGACTTAAGTTTCTTAATGTAATGTGCTACCAGACCAGTTTTTAATGTTACTTTCTTAGCTTGGAAAAATGGTTTCTGCCTCACTGGCAGTACCCTCATAAATGGGATTAATGCCATATGAAAGAGACTCCAAAGAGGTTGCTAGCCCTTTCTCCCACATGAGGATGAAACAAAAGTCTGTGACCTGGAGAGGGCCCTCCCCTGACAGTGCTGGCACCCTGATCTGGGACTCGCGGCCCCTGGATCTGTGAGCAATACACCTCTGCTGCTGGTAAGCCGCCCAGCCTGCAGTATTCTGTAAAGCAGCCCACATGAACTAAGGCAGTTCCTACTTTTCTCGTGTCAATTTCTGGGAAACAGACACCTCACAGGCCCTTCCACGCTTCCTATTCCTCGCTACCAGGCTGGAATCTACACAGTCTGCTTCATGACCCACAGCTCTACTCAAACTAGTCTTGCTAAGACAGGCAAGCATCCTACCTGGCAAATCCAATGAGCATTTCTCAGTCCATTTCTTACAAATCTTATCTGACAGTGCCCCTTTGCTCCTCCGGCGGATGTGAGGCTGCCCTCTCCTCTCCGCCTGGCCTCGGACCCTCCTGGTCGCTTCTCCTCAGCTCACGCCTATACATTTTACTCCATGTGTTGATACTGAACTCCACCAAGAGTCGGTTATTGACTGTTCCAAAATTTGCTTCTATAACATCATGCAGGCCAAAAATTGTAGGTGTGGAAAAAATAATGAGTGGTTATTTCTATGAAACAAAGCTGTACTTTTGGAGAGCCTTGATTTAGATGAATTTGAAACTGCTTTGAAAAGGCAGTTTTCAAAATAGGCATTGGCAAGGGGATTGTAAAAGATGGGGGGAGGGGGATCTAAAACAATGAAAAAAATGTTCCTGTTTCTCAAAGGGGATGCCATTGGTATTTGGAGCCAGACGATTCTTCATTGTCCAGGAATATCCTACACATTGCAGGAAATTTATAATCTCTGGACCCTACATACTAAATGCCATACTGATCCCCACCCCTATAGGTAACTAAAAAAAACACTCCAGAGATTTCTAGAAGGTTGTATCACCTCCCAGTTGAGAACTAATGATAGAAGAATTTTGCACTCAGATTTCTTTACAACTATCTTAACTGCTTTTCTATCTTTGAAGAAACAAGCTATAAAAGTGGAAAATGCATTTCAGATATGATTTGCAGTCAAAAGACTGTAACATCATAGGCAAAGACAAGGTTGTGACTATTTCAGTAGATTAGGATTTTAAGTTAAATACAATATTAAGGGTATTTAGGTATGTTTTTATTTCCTGCTTCTGTGATCAGATGCTCAACTAGAGTCTACTGTACTGAACTTTTATATTCTGAGAACTATCATAATTATTTGACACATGTATTCATGAACAAAGGCTTAGTGTGTCCTTGTAGCTTTTTAATATTCAGAAGTTGCCAACTTCAAAAGAAAATCAAATAAAACTCATTATAGGTATAACTATTCTTCTAATTTTGCTGAGGAAACTGCCACGAAAAAGTGAGACCCATGCTATTTAGTAGCACACTCATTCTTAACTTGAAACTTTATAACCACTATTGAAACACACTGACAAAATATTTTTTCCTTTAATTTTCATTTATGATTTTAGAGGGAAGAAGGGGAGAGAGGAAGGGGGGAGGAAGAGAGAGAAATATCAATTTGTCATTCCACCTATTTATGCATTCATTGGTTGCTTCTTGTATGTGCCCTGACTGGGGTCAAACCTGCAACCGTGGCATATCAGGATGATACCAACCAACTGAACTACCGGGCCAGGGCTGACAAAATATTTTTCAATCAAGTATTAACATCTTAAAAATTGTATAATCAAAATACTATTTCCACAATAACGGAAAATACTCTTTGGTAACTGACTGATGAGTATCCACATTTTTAGGTGTTAAAAACATTCAAAGGATCTTGTTGACCTTTCTCTTACCTCTATTAGCAATACAAAGGTTCTGCCTCCAAATAACAGATAATTTAAAAAATTTAGTTTCTACCAGAAAGACCTGTAAACGAAGAAAACCCTCACCTCTAAAGGTGTAAGATGTAAGTTTAACCCAGAAGGGAAATATTACTAAATTTTTCCACAGAAAACAAATTAGAAGTTATTTAGTAACTTCATCACTAAAATCAATGATTGAATAATCGAACAGAAGGAACTCAACTTGGAAGGCCGTCAACACTACTTCCTTACTTGGCTTCTCTAAAATAAAATTCTAATTACTACAGGTGCTTCTATTAATGTCTAAAATAAAATAGCAATGAGGAGGCTAGATCAACAAATATTTAAAAAAATATATTTTAATTGCTTTCTTACAAGTCTTAAAAGAAGTTCAAGTAGATAAACTGGTATTAATAGACAGCCTTGGAAATCTATTCTGGATTTGAAGTAAATACAGAATTTATATGTAATATAGTCAGTTCTTAGGTCTTGAATAAAGAAATGAGACACTGAAATTAGCAAGGATTTTAAGAAAATAAAACAGAAATAAATATAAACAAGTTTAAACAATGGAAAAGATTTCATTGAACTCATTCTTTGCACTAAGTACATTCTTCATAAGTTTTTGTTTATATGAAGAATATGTGTACTCATGTATCTACTCTGTTAGCTGAAAGCCCTCCTTGAGCCAGGTTCCACCTTGGCTTGGAGGCATGTGACTTGGTTCTCCCAGTGGGCTTTTATTTTGAATCCTCTAATGAAGATCTACGGCCAACGTACTTTTTTATCACTTGTTCTTGCATGGAAATCTTTTTTTTTAATCACCTTTATTTTATTAAAAAAGAACTTCTATGAATTGGAGCATTAACAATAATCCAGAATCATTTGTATGGCCTCCAAACAACTTAAAAAACAGCAAATGCTGTTCCAGCTGTTATCAAGCCTTAGGGATTGTTAATTTAACTAGAGGAACCATTGTTTATAGTACATAATTACACATTCTGAGTATATAATTGCACTTGTTAAAGCTTACTTTTACATTCCATTGATCATAATGGAGATTAATGATCATTTAAATCAAATTTTGTCAGTGAGCAGAAATTCTAGGCCCAATTTCACCCTTATAAAGAGTAAATTCAATAAACAGGAAAGTGCTTCATAAATAATTATCCTTGTTTTTCCCTCTTCACTTAGTATCTGGAAGGATAAGGTGTTAAAGAATAAATATATATGTACTTTTTGGGGGGCATACACTTTCTCCAGATCCTTGAATCTATTACTCCACTTGTACCTCATGGCATCTTTGCTACTCACCAGCTATATAGTCACCTGTCTCTGAGTCCATAGCAGGAAATAAAAGTGAATATTCAGTGCTGACAGATGAACTTCTGAATCATCTGCAAACCTAAGCTAAATAACAGGGCTAAAAGACTGTCTGTGCCCAGGGCTGAAATCTGGATGCTAAACCACACTGCCCAATGATGCAATGATTCACTGCATACAGTTATTTCTTAATACTTACGGTAGCCGCATTTTTTACAGCCTGCTCGAACACTATCCTTGTTGCAACCTAAAATACAAATGGATAACGTTTTAGGAGACATATAAAGTAAAAACATAAAAATTTCATCACATGAGAAACCTAAGAAAACCACTTGAAGAATTTATTTCTTAAAAAAAAAAATCATCTCAACCCAGTTTAGTAACACTACTCAATTATTATGGTTACCAGGAACTACTGTAAAAGCCAATTTACTCACATTATTTCCTTTGACAAATACTTTAAGAACTTTCTTTTCTTCTAATTCAACAAATGCAGTATTATAGTCAAGAGCTTAAATGCTCCTTTGATTCTACAATACTGAGGAAGAAATTCCAGGGTACCTTGGCCTGTCCCTCAAATGTAAAATAAATAATTAACTAGATATATATGGGTATTCAGGTTAATGTATGTTTTAATGCTTTCCCTTAGAAGAAAAGAAGTATGACTTTCTTAAATAAATTGATGAAATTCCAGAAAATTAATTTCTAGGTATTGTAAAAAACATCTCAATTCAGCACTCAAATGATGACAAGAGAAAACAACTAGTCACATATTCAGTCTGATCAATGCTTAGAAATATTTACAGCATCCTGTATAATTACTGGTACATGCAGGTAATATTGAACATACAAATAAAAAGTGAAATAAATTAAAACTGAATTTTATTATAATAAATATACATAATATAAAATTTACCGTCTTAACCATTGTTTAAAATGTTTTTATTGATTTCAGAAAGAGGAAGGGAGAGGGAGAGAGAGAGAAACATCAGTGATGAGAGAGAATCATTGATCAGCTGCCTCCTGCATGCCTTCTACTGGGGATCTAGCCTGAAACCCTGGCATGTGCCCTGACTGGGAATCGAATCATGACTGCCTGGTTCATGGGGTGACACTCAACCACTGAGCAACACTGGCTGGGCCCATCTTAACCATTTTTAAGTGAACAATTCAGTGGCATTAAATACATTCAAAATGTTGTACAACCATCACCACTATCTATTTTCAAAATTTCTTCAGCATCCCTAACAGTAGCTACCCATTAAAAAATAACTGACCATTCCTCCTTCCCTCCAGCCCCTGACAATCTCTATTCTATTTTCTGTCTCCATGAATTTGCCTATTCTAGGTATCCCATATGTGTGAAATCATACAATATTTGTCCTTTTGTGTCTGGCTTATTTTATTTAGCATAATGTTTTCAATGTTCATCCAGATTATAGCACATGTCAGAATGTCATTCCTATGGCTGAATAATATTCCCTTGTCTGTATATACAGCTGACACTAATTTTAACTTCCAATAAGGACTTCCATCAACCAATCAGAGGGCCAGTAGAGTATTACTCTATTTCCTTAATGAAGGGCATCTTACTCCTAGATCCTTCAAATAGAGATATCATCCCAATTTAATAATAAAGTTCATACAGTACAAATATAAAAGTGTTTATTTTAAAAGATCATTTTCAAACCATTTCTTTTGTTATGAAGTCAAAACATTAGTCATTTCCCCCAAATCTCAATTTTGCTTTAAAATATACATTACTGAACTGTTCTAGTAAAAACAGTCAGTTCAGCTACAACGCTTGTTTTAAAAATACAAGTTTGTTCCAGTGCAACTGATAGGAGAACAATGTGAGCATGACATGACTTTTTGTCCATGAAAAACACGAGGTAAATGCAGAAAACTCCTCATTCAGTTGCTCTGAGCCTCGTAAGAACATACAGCATACACACGCCGACACAACTCAAACCATTTCTAGCAACCTACGCTCAACACGTGGGTTGTGAGCAGTGCCCATACACATCTGGTGTGACAACTTTCCATCTGATTTCATATCATCACCTCCCTACCATTACTTTACAACAACTCGTAAGCTGCAAACTTCAGGTCTTTTAAAGAGAGAGTGCTCTATTTATTATAGTATTTATGTATCTTTTAATCAATTAACATGTGCAATATTATACTACTATTTTCATCAGGTTCCTATTATTTACTGATGTATCACTGATGAAGGTTTTGAGTATTGTGCCCAATCTCATTTTTGTTCTCCTACATGTTGTGGTTTTTATTGCAGAGAGGAACACATATGATGCACTGGGCAGAACTGTGGAACAAAACTGAATTAATAATAAAATCTGAGGCTCTTTCAATATGAAATAATTGCATGTTGGAAAAAAAGCTCAGAGAATCCAAGTCAATGTTAAGTCTGTTTCCATAGAAACCCAAGATGCTGAATAACACTGAATAAAGCTGTGCTAAACGCACCATTACCATTTCTACAACAAACTAAAAATGTTGTAATAAACAGATCCAAAATGATCTCATCTGAACATGTATTAGAAATCAACTCATTTATGACTAAAGACACTGATAAAACTTGTCATCCAAGTATCTCATATTTTTCGAAAAACAAAATATAAAACTTTTTCAGAGCAGGTCATCTTTAACAAAGTTATAAATTTTACAAGAAAGGGAAATATAACAAGAACTCTAAATAAAGTGACTTTATTTCTTCACCAACCTTTGGTTAAATTAAGATATTAAGCTTTATTTGTCTATAATTTTTATGACTGCCTGGCCAATGAAATGCTTCTACCTGTAACTTCAAAACTGATGCAACTAACACAATAATCTGAGAGAAGTGACACAGGGAAGTGGGGACAGTTAATTCATTCTGCTGTCAGGATCCAGTTCCTAGTGGCGGTGATGGTACCCGGAGCAGCAGCCCTAACCAGGCCTGGGTCTGTGCAGGATCCTGCCTAAAGGTTCCCCTGGTCTTATCTATTTTCTGAGCCTTATTTTCCAGCCTTTGCTTAGATTCTGTGAGCTTCCTGATATCTTTCCTTTTCCCCTTAAATTAACCAGTTTGGTTGCTTGGAATAAGAACTCTGCCAATGCAATTGTAGACACCCAAAATCCATGTCAAACTGAGTAGTGAGGCCATATTTTGAGGCCCTTACTCCTCAAAATGTTCCTTTATAATCATGACTTATAATCCAAAAAAAGCCTTGAATAAAAACTTATACATCTGACTACATAAAAAAATATGAATGACAAAGACTACCAAAAGCAAACTCAAAAGACACAGGAACACTAGGAAAAACATATTTGCAACTCATAGCACCAATAAAGGATATTTATCCCTACCATAAAAATCCCAGCAAACCTTAAGAAAAAGACCGATGACCAATTTCATGAAACGTAGTAAAAGAAAAAGATCAATAACCAATAGGGAAAAAATGGGCAAAGAAACTGAAAAGAAAGTTCACAGAAAGGAAGTAGGAACAATTTTGAAACATATGAAGAGATGCTCAGCCTTATTCATAATAAGTATTCGTGAAAATCTATACTGGGATTCCACCCTCACCAAAATAGGAAAGGCTGAAAAGGTTGAAGAGGGCATCGGGGGACCCACTCCTGCACATTGTAGGAGAGTCAGTTAGTACCATCTCCATGGAAAGCAAGCTGACAAAATCTCCCAGAACTCTAAACGTGCACACTCCTATGGCTCAGCACATCCGCATCTGGGAATTCACCCTCCCAACTTACTTGCACAAACAAAGACTGACTTATGTACAGAGTTATTTGCTGCAGCATTTTTGTAATAGTAAAGGAGTAGAGATAATTTAGACAAACTATGGTAGGAAAGAATAAGGGTGGTCTTTAATGATAGGTGATAATTTCTAAGCAGGCTGTGTATCATTCAGTCTGGCCCTGCCCAGGCAACCGCAGGCGGAACTTGAAATTCAATAAACCTAGGAGCTTTTTTCACAGCTAATTTTTAAGTTGATAATTTTGTATGGACTGAGAATGATGTTATAAATATCCAAATGGCCCTTGGCAAGAAAAAGGTTCCTCACCCCTGCACTAGGGGAAAAGAAATAAAAGAACGAAGGATAATAGAAATAAAAATAACGGCTGGACAGGGGAAGGGGGAGAAGACAGAGGTACATGGAAAACTTCTGGGGTGACAGAAATATCCGAAATCTTGATTTGGGCTATAGGTAGAAAATATATACATACATATATATATATACATATATATATTTACATTTGTTACTTGTGCATTTTAACATGTAAATTGTGCCACAGTAAAGCAGTTAGCATAAACAGGGGAAAAAGTAACAGTTGGGCCAAGACGGACAAAGAGAAAAGATAAAGGTTAGAGAAGGCCAAACATTAGGAACAGTGATTACAGGAATGAGAAAGGGTGAGAGAAGGGGATGGAGCAGCCCCCACAGTTGCCTCTGGTTGTTCAGTGGCCCCCAAAGGCATGGCAAGCCATCGTATTGACCTAAACTTATTTCCTTGAAATTTCACGTCACCTAATGTTTCCAAAGTCAACAATTTAGCCACTGAAAAGTTTAACAGTGACACTTGTCAGTGAATTATTTCTCTCTTACTCTTTTGACTTTGGGAAAGGCTGTCAAAGTTGTCTTTCACTTAAATTTAAAAGTAAACAGCTTAAGTAACTGTTCTCTTTCTATTAAGCAGTTAGCAATTGCAATCACTTGTCCATTCTTTTCATTTTTAATTTGATTAGATTCAATTAGATTAGGGTCCTTTCTGTTTGCAACATTTTAAGTTTTACACTTGCTTACTCCATTATAGTTTCAGTCATCATAATCTGAGGACCCTTAAAGACAAGGGAGGAAAGGGCAATAGGAATGACCTGTCCACACTTAGGAGCATGCACTTCATTCTTGCAGAGATGGGAGCTTTGGCATTACAGGAATTTTTAGTAGAGATGGCTCAGTCATCCACTCCTTCATTACGGAGACAAGGAAGCCGAGCCTCAGAAAGGTTAGTCTCATGAAGATGAACACAAAATTCAGGGATATGTGTCAAGCCTCTCAGGAATGAGAGTCAGATGTATGATTTAGGAAAATAATTTCAGCAGCCATGTGTAGCACAGACTAGAGAGAAAAGAAATGGTGTGCAGTATGGTTTCTGAGTGAGAAGACTGGATGTCGTGTAATTCGGAATTCTTCTATTACTAAGATGCCATAGTAATGTGTTGTGAGAATTTGACTCCCTTTGACATGGCAGATGTAATGTTAATTTGGCTATAAAAACTCTACCATGGCTCTATAGAGTTCCATGAAGCAGAGAAAAAAAGAGTTTTTGTGCCAACCACATCAGTATTATAGACTGCCACTTGTGCCAGGCCCACTCTTCCTGGGGAATGGAGACTCATTAAAATGAGTGTCAGAGCTAATTTCAACAACCGTGAATGGGAAAAGCAGTTTGTAACAGAAAGTAAACTTCACTGTGCTTAAATGTAATTTCTTTAATAACAGCAAAGGGCCTATGCTTTCTTTACTAAGAGAGTACGTGCTTCATTGTTACTCACATAATGGTGTGAGCCTATACACAATGCTGTGCAGAAACAGCTCAAGTAGGTGACCATAAAATAGGCGAGGCCGATTTTCATTTGTGGAAGCAGCCTCCTTACTTTATAGTCATACCTTGTAATAATTGCTAGCACGACCACCCAGGAAACGCCACGCTGAATCCACAGGAGCATTATACCTGAAAATAAACGGGCGGAACAATGCCCGTCCTTCCTGATCATTACCTCAAAATGTTTCTGATGGGGCCCTACTTTCCTTTTGTACACTACGTGGATCAATCAAGAAATTATTACCATTTTCAGCATCTGTATTTTCTAACAGCACTTGCATTATACTTCACAGTGCTGTCATGACTATTATCCCATTTTTGGCTGGGTTTAAACAGTTTATCTACATCCCATAGTCTAGCTGAATGGCACAATTTAAGATTATTATACTTTAACGCACAGTTTTGAATTGAAAGAAGGTTAACATATCTATAACAGTGGCCTAAGTTTAAGGGAATTTCAATGAGGACTTTTAAAAAAATCCCTCTGTCATCCCTCTTAAGCAGCCCATTTTCATTACTGAACAAGTTTTATGAGGGCACAGGCTATGATGCTGTGTCCCCCATAGTACCTTTACCATGTACGTGCTCAAAATGCTTGCTTAAGTAATGAAAGCAACAGTGACAGTAGGTCAACTCTGGATGCAGCTCTGTGATGCAAAGGTCACCAAGGCTGACTCGGCCGATCAGGATGCCTGGGCAATCCACTGTGCACACTGGCTTTCTCTGATGGCCCCTCACACGTTGATATTCGCCAGGCTTCAGCTACAGACCTTCCCTTCACACTCTACACACACTACCTGAGCAAATGCATCCACCTGCATGGCCTTAGTTCTTACATGTGTGGATGACATTAAATTGTTGTCTTTGACTCTGGCTTCTCTACAAAACGCATCTTACTGGCTATTAGATAGTGCCATTCCAGTGTTTGACTACCCTCAACAAAGGCCCCAGACTGAAGTCAACATCATCCCCCTAAAACCTGCTACTTCCCAGGGGTTGCCTATTTCAGTAAATACCCCACCCAACTACCTAACACGGAAACCCAGGTATACCTCATTTCTTCTCTTACCCACTTACGTCGAATCGATCACTGATTCCTAGTAATTCTACCACCAAAAATATACCTCCAATCTGTCTGCTTCTCTCCTTTGCTACTGAGACCACAAATGAGGCATCATCGTAACAGTTAGAATTGCTTCTAACTGGTGACTGCCTCCAAACTAGCTCCCCCCCAACCCAATATACAGTCAGAATCATCTTTACAAAATGTGAATCTTTTTAAACACTTTTAAAAGGCTTCCTGTCCTCCTCAGGAAACCATTCTAACTGTCACACTTACAAGATCCTTTAAGAGCTGGACACTACCTTGTAAATTACAGTTGTTACCTTGTCAATTATACTGTAACATGGCAAACTGTATAAAGCCCACAGGGCCTAGAGGGGCCAGGCTGACCTGTCACTTACTGGCTGTCGCATAATAGGCAAAATCCTTGATTTCCCTGTCTCTCAGCACTCTCATATGTAAAGTGGAAACACTAATACCTATCTCACGGTGGGTGTGAATGTTAAACGAGATAAAATACAATGTGTGACACAGTGTCTGACGCATCTGACACATAGCAGATGCTTCACAAATATTAGCTCTGTTGTCGCTCCAGTTCATTTCTCGCTTCTCTCCCACTTATATTCTGAGTTCCACTGTGAACACAGTTCATCTCCTCCTCTCACCTTTCCTCTCCCGTTTTACATACCCAGGCCCCCGGCCGCAACTCCCCTCCGCCGCTCCAGCCCTCCTGCAGCTCTTCAGGTCCCACCCTAAACGCCACGGCCCCGGGGACGTCCTTCTGGCCCCTCCCGCCTCGGGTCAGGTGCCCCGACGGTGCGCTCCTGAAGGCTGTGTGCTTTCCCGGCCGGACACGGGTCGGCGCTTCGGGTGCTTTTTCACCCTTCACTGCTATTGAGTTCTGGTTGAAGGGCTGTGATGCTCACCAGGGTATTCCCGATGCCTGGCACAGCGCCTGGCACGCAGTGCGCACTTAAGAAGCCTGTCCCGGGTACGAGCGAGCGAACCTCTTCTCGCTCGCAACCCCCCGTGCTCCCCGCAAACGGGGAAGCACGCCTTCCCCACGGCGGCGGTCTCAGGCTCGGTGCAGAACGGGCGCGGCCACGGCACGGGGGAGGGAAGCTTCGAACCAGGGAGACCTGCCAGCGCGGGCCCGCCAGG